CCAGGTGTGCTGAGCTAGCCACCGAGTCCAGGCGTGGTGATGCAAGCCTATGACCTCAGCACTGGGCAGCCTGAAAACAGGAGGGTCATTGTGAGTCTGAGCTGCGTAAGGAGACCTTGTACTAAATATATTTTTTAAAAAAGAAAGAAAGAAAATGAAAAGAGAAATGCCACGCTTTTGGATTAGAAGGCTCAACATTAAAAAGGTGCAGTTACCTCAATCTGATCTGGAAGATTCAGTGCCGTCCCAAACAAAATCACAGCAAGATTTGTTGTGTAAACTGAGAAATTTGTTCAAAAGTATGAAACAGGGCCGGCCAAATAGCTCGGTGAACTAAAGCACTTGCTTAGGCAGGCACAGGAACCTGGGTTTGATCCCTCATACCACATGCCGTACTGGCCCCGCCCCCCAGGGGCACTGAGACAGTGACTAGGACTGGGCATGGTGGTGTGTGCCTGAAATCCCAGTGCTTGAGAAGCTGAAAACAGGAGGATCACTAGGAGTCTGATCTACATAGTGAGACCCTATAGACTCTGTCCTAAAGACATTTTTTTAAGTATGATAAAAGATTTTTCTTTACTCCCTGTCCGAACTACCATAAATTCTATGGGTTTTTAAATTTTGTTTCTCTTTCTTTACAATAGGGAAACCTATTGCTTCATGTTATTATCTTCCATTAGGTAGCATCTGGCCTCCTCCTTTCCATAGAATCATAATGATTGTGCTTAGAAATAAAAGAGATATCGGTGTCAAAGTATGTTCACTATAAAGACTATAAATGGATGCAACTCAAGACCATACTCATAAGTGAAGTAAATCAGACCCATGCATGTGAACACTGCACTATCCCACTAGTGTGAGAAGCTGGGTGAGTAAGTAAGATACAAAATGGAAATCGTGTGAATTGGGAAGAAACTGTTCAAAAGAAAAGACAAACTGTGATGAGGGAAAGGGGAAGGGAAGGAAGGGAAAGAAGAGAAAAATATATTTATACACAAGGTATCTATCCAGTCAGTTTCTTTAGTCCATTGAAAAGAAAGGTTTGTGTTTATGTTGTTTGGACAAGATATCATGCCTATATCTTGCACTCTGAGTAACTACTGCAAAGACAATACGTAATGTGTCAATTACTATAACTGTCCAACTGTCCTGTTTTGAAACTGTTTTGTTTTTGTTTTTATTTTTTTATGAAATAAAAATGCACATAGAAGGCACTGTCCTAGAAGAGACTGAGTTCTTAATCCCTGGAGACATTGCAAGAGACTAGATTGTGTTCACTCCACATTTAGTCATAGAGCATCCACCATACACACCAGGCACTGGAGACACAGAATTGAGTGAGATGCGGTCTCTGTCCTCAAGAATCTTCATAAATAGTAGTGTGTTTGAGATGCTGAAATTTCTGCACAGAGAAGAGATGTGAACTAGGGACCACAGGGCTCTATTCTGGAGGCTTACAAATCTATGATGTCAGAGGAAAAATCAAATAAATTATGGCCTGTGTTTAAATGACTCCCAAAGGCCTTCTATAGTTATGAGTGGGATGTTTTCAGAAATGACTGAATTGAGATGCGTGACTGACTCATAGTGCAGTGCTAGGCTTAAGGGCACTAGGCTTTAGGGTGGGTGATTACTAAATCAGTCCACTGCCTGGTTTTGGTGCCACTTGAATCCCTGTGCCTGGATGCACTATAAGGTCCAAAAAGATGCTTGTCTTTCTCATTGCTTTCTTGTTTGTTTTACTACCTTCTGCCCACCATGAACCGTTTCTCCTCTGTGATGCCTGGCTGCATGCTGCCCTGCCTAGGATCCAGCCAACTAGGAACTGAAACCTTCACAAACTGTGAGCCAACTGAACCTTTTGTCCTTTAACTTTGAGTGTTGAGTATTTCATTTCAGCAATGAGAAAAGTACCAAACAAACAAACAAACAAACAAACAAGATTCCTTTCATTGTGTAAAATATAAATATTTCTTTTGTCCCCTCTGTTCTGGGGATTGGCAGTTGTAGACCAAGAGCAAAAGAATAAAGAACCCCAACACCTATAAAAGCTCCCCTCCAGCCTACAACAAAATACTGCGCCTGTCTCCCTCATTAATGAAACCCATCTTGTACACGAGAGCTCTTGTGCATCCCTGCCAGAGGGAAATATCAAACACATGCTGTCCTGCCATTCCTACTCCCAGGAAATCTTGGAAGGGGCTGTGTTAGGAAAGCAAACCTATTTCCAGGAAAGCTCACGTTTTGGCATTTCCTTTTCACCTGGCTCAGGATGCTGTTTTAGGGATCCTCTGCTTCGGGAACGTGAGACAGCTGTGGAACAAGCCCAGCTACAGCGATCCGATGGCGTGGCCTGCTGAGAACATACTAGGCACATTCCTCCAAGAATTACCACAGAAACAGAGACAGTTCCAAAAAAACAAGGAGTTGTTCCTATATGCATAGTTTAGGCATAGTAGGCGAGCAGAGAGCCATTTGTCACCAAGAGCAGACTTGCTGGAGTCAGGGTGGGGGAAGATACTGGCTTTGCTGTCAAGCTAGCTGGTTTGATTCTCTGGCCTTAATGAGCATAAGCATGTTGCTTAGGGACCAAAACCTTCTATTGAGAAGGTCCAGTATCAGGAAATTGGGTTCTGTTCTGATAGGAAAGCTGTGGGGAGGAGTAAAATGTTTTTACTTTGAAGTATAGATTCAGGGATGAAAATGATTAAGATGTAAAGAGAGATGGACATGGAGGGAGAACATGCTTAAATAAGAAGTAATTTTGGTTTGTAAAAAATTATTTATTTTTAGTACATGTTTGTCACATATAATTATTACATTTATCATGCGGAGTTGTTACATGTACATAACGCATCTTAATTGTTCTTTTTTTGCCCTCTGTCCCTCCCTACACACCCCCTGCTCCTTCCAACTCTTGGTCCTTTCCCATGTACTTTTTTTTTGCATTTTAGAGAAGCGTCTACAGAGTGTTCAGGGTCTTACTACTAGATGCGACTCATAGTGCGATCCACCTGTTTACAGCCTCCCAAGAGCTGAGATTACAAGCGTGTGCCACCACGCCCAGTCTCAATTGCCATCTCAGCATGGCTTGGGGGTGGGGCCAGCACAGCAGGCAGGCCAGGGGGGATTGAACCCCCTTGTATTAAGCCCCCTGCTTGCAGGCACTTTAATCCACTGAGCTATTTGGCCAGCCCTTCCCATTTCCACTGTAATTTTACTTTTTCCTTGCCCTTTCCCTCCTCTCTCCTATCCTCCTGTGCATTTATCAAAGATCTCCCTACTTCCTGCAATCTAGCCTTTGCTTGGTCTTTATTTACATACTTTTGCAGTTTCTCCTGTAAGAGAAACTATGCACTGTATATGCGTATGTGTCTGATTTGTTACATTTAATAGTACGGTTTCAAGGTGCATCAGTTTACCTATGTTTGGCTCAAGTTTACCTTTCTTTACAGCAGGGTACGCCCATTGTGTATAAAAATCACATTTTCTTTATCCATTTATCTGTTGATGGACATATAGGCCACACGCAATATTTAGTCATTATGCATTTATGCTGCTCTGAATGTGAGTAGGCACATATCACTGTAATATGATGACCTTAAGTCTTTTGGGAAGATACAGTTGTGCTTTGGGCTTTTTTTTTCAAGGGAAAAGTACTATACAGGACACATTTTATAAGATTAATTTATAATGAATCACCCAAAGAATCATTTACAAAGAGTGCAGGAAATCTGTCCGTACGCTAAAGACCAAAATATCCAGCAGACGTCCTGGATCCTACAATAGTGTCCTGCATGAGTCCAGCTGAAGACCTAGAGCCGTAATAATGCCCAGCACAATGTCTCATATAGGTCTGCTTTGCAGATCTGTGCTGGAAAGGCCTACAGGTCAGTGGTGGAAGCTACAAAGTCTATAGCAACAGGATGAAGGATCTGTGCTAGCAGGGTGAG